CCCCCCCCCGCCGCGTGCCTCTTTCTCTCACCTCTCGGCCCTAAGCTTCTGCTTCTCCCTCTCCCCCTTGCTCTCACGGTCGATGCCCCCGTCCATTGGGGCGTCCCTGTTCCAGCTCAGCCGTTTCACCAACGTCCACGGAACCCAGTCTTGCAGAAAGGGCGGCGAATAGGCTCCGCCGAATCTGGCGTTGCGATTAGGGTGGGTGGGTGGGGGGGTACTCATGTTTTGGATATACGGGGAGGGGGAACGCAATATCAGGGGGGGGGGAGGGGTTGTTTGGCCCCTGTTTTAGCTGAGCCGCTTCGTGATGGTGTGCCGGAGGACCCCCAGTCCTTCGGGAAGGGTGGCACGCGCCCCCATCGAGCGAGAAGGGGCGCGAATAAACAGAACTGCTGCAGGCTTGGTGTTCTCAAGTGCGTTGCCGAGTTCCTGCTCTCTGCTCAGTTCTCTATAGCTACTTTACTACACACGAAAATACAATGATTCTCTTGATCTGCAACAGGCCCGCTCAAGAACGGAACAAACAACCATACGAAAAAAATAAATAAATAGATGTACTCTGCATCAGGACGGCCGGCGTCGTATTCTCAAAGTCCGATGCTGACGTGTGATGACTGTTCTTCGTGCCTCTGGGTCTGCGTGCTGCGTGTTCTTTCGTTGTTACTTTCTCAAAAGACATGAAAACCGAAAGAACACAACGTCTTAAAGAAACGCCACGAAAAACAAGAAATGGCTAAAAAAAAAAAAACACCTCCGGCGTTTTAGATGTACTCGCGACCTTGCGAGTTCCGAACGTGGTCAAACGGGGTTGCTGCCTGAACCCTTCGTGGAGACCGAAAGGGGTACCGCAGAATAACCTCCCCATCTACTTTTCCTCCTTCCTCACTTTCGAGCACGCCTCTTCATGTTTTCGCACTCTTGCTGGTACTGCTCCAAGGCCGCGTCCAAAGATTCCTTGTCCTGACAAGGGGGAGAGGCGAAGCGAAAAAACAAAGATGACGGCAGGAAAATCAGACAAAGTGTGGAGTGATCGACCCTTTCGAACATCAACGCTGATGACGCCACGAAAAACGATTTGTGGGAGCGACGAGACTTCTTGATCTAGACTTGAAAATCCCAGAGGACTGGCTACATGTTGTTGTTGTTGTTGTTGTTGTTGTTGTTGTTGTTGTTGTTGTTGCTGCTGCTGCTGCCGCTACTACTGTCGGTGCTGCTGTTGGTGTCACGGTAGGTGCGCACCTCTCCGGAGAAGCCCTCGTCGCACCCTTCCGCACGCACGAACTCCAGCTCCGTCTCCACCGCCGAGCCCAGCGGTCCGGTGCCGGCCTCCGCCTGTCAAGCACACACACACACACACAAAAAAGGAACCAAACACAGACGAAGAAGAACAACACTCAAGTAAGCAGCAAGGACAACCGCCCCACCCCGACCTACGGTAATTTACGCTGCATACATGAGAAAACCTCGACAATTTTTCTCTCCCCCCACACACAAGAAAAACATCTCTTGGGCGAGGAAGTGCCCCCGGCGCACGAGGCAAAACCTTCCTGTAAATGGCCCGCATTCCCAACAGTGCCGCCGCAACCACAGACAAGGTTGAACCCGGCCGTCCGCTACCTACGATCTCGGTGGAGCGTGCATGGCAGGCAACACGGCACCATCGCCCACCACCAACCGACTTCACACCCGTGGCATATTTAGCACATGAGACAACCTTGGTGCCGAGACACACCACTGTGGCATAGGAATACCTCTACACTTTTCATCACAATTTGTCCAAATCCTGCGCACTCGCCTCGATCAGCCATGATTTCTGCCCCATCCACATGCATGTCTGTCTGACCACGTTGCCTGAATCGCCCTCTCACCTCCATCTTGATGTCGCGGAATACCGCTCTGTGCCGCAGACAGGTGAAGCCCACGTAGCGAACCTGTCCCACAGTCGCGTGCATGACCGAAACAAGGAAGCGAGGCGAGAAAGGTCGGGTCGGGGGGGGTGGAGGAGGGGGGTAAGAGGAGGCACGTACTGGTACGGTCGCATGTATGACACAAAACAGGAGGCAAGGGGGGGGTACGCGGACAAACAACGACAAAAAACTGTGCTTCGCGAGGGACAGACCAGCGATCCGGTCTCTCGTTGGACAGTTTTCCAGCTGGCCTTCTGTGTTGAATGTAAATGTACCTTCGACCAAGTGCTTTGTAAAACGAACGTCTCTTCCGGGGTGCTATTAGACAGAGTGAATTTACGTTTATTCCATACCTACATCAGCTACCGTCTTCAGCATCAGAAAAATCTGGCTCTATAAAATTGCGAACCGAACCGCCTTCTGTGATCTGCTATTAACTATCGTTTGTTTGAGGATTTTGTGAGTCCATTTTCGTTTTCCATCTGATTTCCACAAGAGCGTGTACAACCCAGTTTGGCTCGTTGGCCTGTGACCACGGAAGGAAGCCGCCCGAGTCAGTGGGACCAGTATGGATATTAAAAGGTGCTGAGCGGAGACTGAAAACGATTAATATACTGTGAATACAATTACACAACAACAACAACAACAACAACAACAACTGGTGTACCCTAACAACGGGTGTACCCTACCTCAACCAGGGACTCCGTGTCCAGGTACGACAGCACGGTGCGCTGCCCGCAGACATCCCCCACCCCGAAGTCTAGCCTGCCGTGCTTCACCGCGACCCAGTACCTGTACCCGAGAGAGGGGGAGGGAGAGAGAGGGGGGGGTGTACTCATGTTTTGCATGCCTTAGTTGTTAGACCATTGACCACGCGTCCTCTCTCCTCGAGAGGACGGAACGTTGTTCCCACAGGACCGATAACCATTGGCCACTCGGGGGGGGGGGGGGGGGGGGGGGGCCCCCCTTTTTGGCTGCCCAAATTTTTTAACCCGTGGGCCCCCCCCCCTTAAAAGGGGGGAAAACCTTCCCCCCGGGCCCAATTTGGGGGGGAAAAAAAGGGGGGGGGGGGTTTTTCCGGCCCCCCTTAAAAAAATTTTTTTTGGGGGGGGAAATTTTTCTGGGGCCGGGGCCCCAGGGCCGGGGATTTTAAGGGGGCTTCATAAAACCCCCCCCCGGTTTTTCCCCCCCCCCCCCCCAAATTTTGCCCTTTTTTTTTTGGGAGGGGGGGGGCCCCCAATTCC